TTCATAGCATGATGGTATGTTTGTGTTGATTGTGGTTTATTGGTATTCCCGCGCATGACCCCGATTCTTTTAACTATTCTTTGTTTGTTTACTCAAGAGAGTCCAAAGCTAATGCTTTAGGCACCCTCTACTGAGCCGTCGTGCTCACTCCATATTTATCATTTTCAGGACATGGCAAGAATATTGTAGACGACGCACCCTCACAAGCTTAGGAGTGTAGAATGGACAATGATTTTGTAATGTAATTATATTCTTTTGTGAGTTTCAAGCGAAGCCTTTGTAATTATGGCCATGGAGGCCTCATCATCTTGTAATCACATTCTTTTGCACTTGTATAAATGTTTCAAAGATGTAAGAATAATGATATTTGTAAATTTTATGAAACGTCTAAGTTGATGATGTTCATGGAGTTTTAATTTCATGTTTAGGTGTTTGGGAATTGCATTTGATTAGGTTTGGGAAGCAGGAATTTCGTTCGATTCATCTGTGGGCATCATCTAATCGGTTAAATAGGAACACCTAACCAGGTAGATGAATGGGCAGTGTTTTTTTTTTTTTTTTTTTTTTTTTTTTTTTTTTTTTTTCATCTAACCAGTTGGAAGGGTTTTCCTCACCGGTTAGATAGGAATTTGGGTGTTCTACTACCCGGGTAGGAGATTTCTTGTACCCAGTTAGATGTATGGGGCAAAGAAAGGGTTGGATAATTTTCATTATCGGTTAGATAGAGTTTCATAATCGGTTAGATATGAATATATATATATATATATATATATATATATATATATATATATATATATTTAACAATTTTTCCACGGGTCATTCATGTAACCGGTTAGAAGAAATCTCCTATCTGGTTAGATGTGATCTGAAAACTTATAAGCCTATTGGACCATTCATCTACCCGGTCAGGAGAAATCTTCTAACCGGTCAGATGAACTAACATTTTCACAAGGATTTCATATTTTAATATAATTACCCAATGACCCCCAGACCCAAGCTAAAGTGCAGAATAACCCTAGAAAATGACATAATTACCCCTGAAGGGTATGAATGTTGTATTTTGACCAGAAAATGACTATTTTGCCCCCAAGGCCTTTTATATCACCATTTGAATATGGTCAAAGTCTATTTTACCCTTTTGGCTTAATATTATTATTTGACCATGCAAAAAGACCATTATACCCCTATGAACCTAGGAGTGTTAGAATGATGTGGCATGGCTACAAGGCCTCCGGACCTCATTTAATTCATAGAATGACTCTAGTGAATGACGGTTTTACCCTTAGTGGATCTTAAATCATCAAGATTAATATGGAATGACCATAATACCCCTGTGTTACCTCGGGTCTGGTTAAGGACTCGAGGTCACATAAGTCATTCCATATCATATCTAATATTCATGCATTATCCTTGCATCCTATACAATTTTCAAGAATGCTCCAAATAACTTTCCAAAGCTCGGGTTTACTTATACTCAAGAAAGAAACAAAGTGCACAATGCAGTACCATTTCGGTCGACCGAAATAGTGCTTTGGTTGGCCGAAATGGCCCTGGAAGTGACCCCTGAACTGGTCGACCGAAATGGCCATTTTGGTCGGCCGGTTGTGACCCAAATAGTAGCTGAGGCTACTGGAAATGTCAAAAATTGCAACCGGTAGACCGAATTGGCCCTGCGAGCAACAAAATATGCAGAAAACTACTGTGAATAAAAAATGAACAAAATGGCTCCAATGGAACCTTGCAATAGTTGAATCCTACCTGAACGCATGCAAAAATATGGAATACACTTCACAACTCCCAACAACATCAAATTACATGATTCTTCATAATCGTATACAACAAAACAAGGTTCTTACAAATTACAGTCCATGAGATACATTTGTTACTACAATATTACACTTGGTCATACTTTTATGCAAAAAAAAAAACTACAAAATGATGGTTCCAAATCTAGCCTAGAGTTGTGGAGGATTGTCGTTAGCTAAATATTTTTTTTTTTTTTTTTTTTTTTTTTTTTTTTTTTTTTTTTTTCTTAACTCGAAACATGTTCAATAATGGGGTGAGCTAAAAGCTCAGTAGGTGGTACTTAAGACACACCTCTTATGACCCCGTGAATCTATACAAAGCATAGGAAAAAGAATAACGGGATCATGCTAAGCCGGGGTGCACATCCATAACCACAATGTTAAATATATATGTAAACAATTGTTATCAAATCACAAATACACCATATATGCAAATGAAGTGCAAGGTCATGTCGATGTTGCTCCCCATTCCTGAAACATTTCCGTTTCAACTTCCAAACTGTTAGTGTAATCCGATCCAAGACACCTCCAAGGAGTCACGAAAGGAAGATTGACTAACTATCCATGACCACAAGGCACCTCCAAGGCGTCGTATCCGGCCTAGTTAGCTCAACTCCGCTAGGGTCTCTTCCTAATCCCCTCTAGACTACACTAACACCACGGATAGCTAGGCGTCTCCTAGACATACGGTTTTTGCAAAACACTTTTCAAAAAAGAAACCTCTTTCCCAAAACAATTTCATTTCTTTCAAAATACTTTTCCCTTTTTCTTTCCCAATGAATGAATGGATGATTCATGTTTCCAAATGCCAATCACAACAATAAGATCCATACATTTCCATTTGCATTATAATCACATTGTTAAAAGAAATCCTAATATTTATTCTCACAATTTCAACAGTACTTTACATAGCTATTGAAAATCATAGGGCATCTAAAATGTCAATACTAAGCATGCATCTCCACCACCAAGTATATAATCATAATCATGGCTCAATTAACACATATAATATATCCATCACCTTAATTAAATACAACCACAACAAAATAGACAAAACAACTAAAATTAAGCATGCTTAGAATTAAATTAGAGGGGAAAATTCACAAAAAATCTAAGAAGTCATGGATTAGAGCACCCCTACCTCAAATGTGAAAAAACCCCCCAATTTCCAAGTCCTAATTCGAAAATCCAAGGGGTGATGAAATGGTGCTCGACTCCTATCAAATTAAAGGTCTCGTCAAGCTCTCCGATTTTGCCTAAGAGAGTACTATCAAATTCTCACTAGTGCTAGGCTTAATTAAGCCTTAAACTTGAAGAAGAAGAAGAAAAAAATAAAAATAAAAAAAATAAAGGAGGAGAGAGGCTGCAAGAGAGAGAGAGAGGAATAGAGAGAGAAAATGAACCCAAAAATGGCCTCTTAGTCACTGATGAAAGTGAGTGGAGAGTGGGCCCCACCACTAACTCAAACTATCTCACTTTTTCCTTTATATATATATATATAAATCAAATTAATCCCAAACACACATTTAATTCACAACAATAAATATGTATGATATGCAATGGACCCATGACATAACCCTGGTGTACTACAATTCCGATAACGGGTCCCACCCGGGAACTTCCGGTTCGAAAAACGGAAAAATGCCGAAATGGCAACCATTGCATTTCCAAGAGTCCTAAACTCAAGGAAATGCCCCCAAACAACTCTTAGACATAATTGGCACACCCCACGGTGTCCGGCACGTGAAACGAGAAAAGACGAAAATGTCCTCGCAAAAACAGAAAATTTCAGAAAATGAAAAATGACGAAAATCGAAAACATTGCAGATAGGGTGTGAGCTTAAGTCAAAGTCGATTTTACTTTGCTTCATACATAGTGGATCGTTTCACTTTAGACGGTATAGTCCACAGGGTTTCTCCTACAACGATTGGTCTCTTCTGTCAATCGGGGTTTCCTAGTTAAAAATCCTAGTGTCATCTCTCAAACTTTACTTACTTGCACTTTATTTTTGCTTAGTGGATTTGATTTTAGTTATATTTTAATAAAATTAAAATAAGTAAAAATCCAATAAAGAAGCAAGTAAAACTCATTCACCTCACCCTTCTACGTCATTTCTAATACAAACTTTTCCATCCATTTCGCATTGTACAACTCACATTATGTCCACTCTAAGTAACTTTACACACATCAACCTAAGTTGGCTAAAAAAACTCCAATTACAATTCCTAAACAAAAAGTTACGAAAATTCCACAATTACTATTTATACACATCTCTGAGCACGTATTACTCCGACTCAGTGATAGTGCAAAAGCAGAGGTCTCAATTCAGATAAAGTGAATAATAAAGTTCATCCTATCAGTACCAACAAGAATAAGTTCTGCAATTTTATAATTAAATGGATCAAAAGTTAGGCCCTTATAATCACTAGTTGTGCAGGGGTACCTATATTTAGCCCAGCTCTTTTCCTCTCACAAAAAAAGCAAATGCCCGGAAAAGATTTGAAGGTAGTTCGGCCACATTTTAGATGTGCCATAAACATTGAGGTTAGGTTCAACATCCATTAAACCAACAAACCTCATGTCCATTGGATGTCACACAAGCCTAATATATAAGCAAATAATACCAGTGGGCTCAACTCTCAACTACTGCTCTGGAAGATCGAATTATGATACCCCCATAAGGTAGAAATGTGTCCATTAATTGAAGTTGAGTAAAATCTGTCTCACAACCCTATAAAAAGAAAGATTTTTAGGCCATTGACCTGCCAACCATAAATCTATTTACCGACTCTGTACCTGATATTTATACTCAAGCAAGACAGACCTACCATGGAGTTTCCTCAAAAATAAACTTCTTCAAAAAGAAAAGACACAAACCAAAAGAGTTAGTTGGTCTCGTCCTAACTATCTGTTTAACAGACCAACCATTTCTACTTTCTTAGTAACAACTGAGAGGTTAAAGTTTATTAGTATTCTTGGCATTAAAAGAATGTATATATTAATATACATTCTTTTAATGCCTCAGTGCTTAATTGAAAGAATAAAGAGAAATACGCCTCAGTGCTTAATGCTGGGGGTCCATCTCTTAGTGGCAAGTCTTGTCCCATCACACACACACACACACACAGATGTTGATCACTTGATATCAAAAGCTCTTTGCAGTGCTCCTCATCTGTTAACAAAGATATAAAATTATTGATATGTCCTTTTCCTATCTAACAGAAGTTCTTAACAATCATCTCTCTCTTTGGGCAACAAATTCCCCCACTAATTTGTTTATATAAACTCAACAAGATCTTTATACTTGTCTCTTATCTCTTCAAATCTCATTACAACTCAAACTTCATGAAATTTAGAAGTCAGGACACCAATAATGGCACATCCTCAAGCTCAAAGCCCTTCTCACTTGTATTCTCAAGAACTTCAACTCAAACTTTACCAGGCCTTCATTTTCTCAATCCCAATACTTTTCTCCATAATTCTGTTTCTCTTGTTTTATTTGTTCTACCTCAAGCGGAGGGCTTCCTCTGTCTCAATATCCTCTCCATCAATAATTCCAAGGAGCTTGATTAATCAAGCAACACCAATCGCCCCATCGGTAAGACACCCCCCTCCATCTGTCTCTCTCACACACGCGCACGCTAGTATCTATGAAAAAGTAAATTAGAGGTAGAATATATTGATCAGGTGTTGTGCTGGAATATCAAGTTGATCAATTGCAAACCATGAGTATCAAGTTCTGTTGCTTGTGGTGTACAAATTAGTCTACGGAATGAAGTCGTGTGTACATTGCAGAGTTGAATATTAGCTTATTTGATCAATCCATCTAATTTTACTCTCTTTCTGTGTCATTTCTATAGAGTGAGATAGGTTGGAAGGGAAATTTCAAAGACAAGCTTCCAGTAATCTTGTTTGATGAAGATTTAAGGACAAGGGATTCACAGTAAGTTCTTACATTTTCCTACTATATTTCCACAAGCTATAGTGTTATATATGTCTCCTCCGTCAAGTCATACACTGTATAATCTAGGTTTATGCAGGGTTGTTCTTTTCACCATTATCCTTGCCTGGCCTGTGAAATTAAACCTATTTAATTAGGAAATATTTAATTTTTGTTTCTTATACATTTTAATTATATTCTCTAACATTTAATGTCCAATATTTTCTTAATTGAAGTGTTTCCGAGGACTATGACCATAAGACTCTAATAGCAATAAACCCTTGTAATGAAATCCCCTGAAATCTTAGGATGACAGAGCTATGCTAAGTGCTAACCATTGAAATGGTAATTTCATATTTTATTTCATATTGAAAATTTTAATTATATGATATTTTCAATTGAAAGGTGAAACAAGAATAGTTTAAATATTGCTTGTTCAAAGCATTGAATTGGATCTAATGAAATTTATTAAAATCTAACAGGTGTTGTGTTTGCTTGGGAGAATTTGAGATTAAAGAGGAGCTGCATCAGGTTCCGTCATGCAAACACGTGTTTCATGTTGATTGCATACGCCATTGGCTCAGATCAAACTCCACTTGTCCACTATGTAGATGCTCAGTAAACACCACCACCATAAATAGTCACCCAAAGCCACCTAATGGACCGAGCCTAATCAGGCAAGACAATGAGAACTTGAATCAGGATCCACAAATCGTCTCTCCAGAGCAGCAAGAACAACTAGCTAGTGTTAGTGTGAATATGGCAAATTATTCAAGAGAACATGTGGTATTAATGGAAGGATCATCCAGTGGAACTACATCCATTTGCATGGAGAATGAGACGGGTTGTCAAAATGGAGAATCAGTTGTTCTCACTATCCAAACACATAATACTTGATTTTTAAGTCCATGCCTTCTATATGAAGTTGAAAAATGAAAATGACCCACCATGCACTAAAAGGGCTAGAGTGCATCCATGGTCACTGGAATGAACAAATGGGGCCAGAGTCAATGTTCCCGGGGGCAAGAAAGCAGTGTCATGCAATGACAATTTTGAAGTACTTTTTGTACTAAACTCTCTCGTGTGCCAATTTTGAATATCTTTTTTCTTTTTCCTTTTCAGATTTTTGCCTTTTTAACTGTACACTGGTGAGGAGATCTACTTAGATCAACAGTGACAAGGCATTTATGACCTTATTTGAGTTTCCTGTGGTGAGCAATAATCAATTTTTACTGAAGGATTTGGTCCCAGTAATCAAGATGAATATGTTTTCCTAAGACTTGGAATTCATCTAATTCCTGTATGGCGATAAGCAACTTATTAGATTAATATTGCCAGGACCCGCCTCAGACTGTGAGGATATTGTTCGTTTTGCACCATCTTGGCACTCACGGTTTTAAAACGCGTTCACACATATAGGAGACATCCTGCCTTACACTAAGGTCAATGAAAAAACTTGTTTCCAGGATCCATACATGTCCAAGGGAAGTGTCATGTAATGTAAGCAAGACCTTCAATCCTGCTGAATTATTTGTACAAGAACTTGGAAGTCCCCACAACCCTCATATTCTAGAATGCCAAAGAAGATGCAAAATACAGAACCCATGCCAGAACTATTGATGTCAATGTTATCTTCATAGGCATCTTTCCTTTATCAGTCCTCAAAACCATAGCTTCATATACAGGCCAGCCATTTACCACCGCAAAACCTGCTATGAAAATCTGCACAAATAGATCTTCCAAGCTTCTGCCCCTCAAGATCTCTATGATTCCCCAAACAAATGAGGCTAAATTTATGAGTACTGCGGTCGTTATTGGCAAGAACGACGGTGATGCTACACCAAATTCAAATACCCCCTGCTCATATCGCCTGTTTTTTTCATCGTCAAACACCTTGCTTGTCACATTGAATCCAGATGTACATATGCCCAAGGACTTGAGTAAATATTCCACCATTCCAAATGAAAAACTCGAGAGTACCCTAATCAACCACATTCTCTGACTATTCCACCACCTCTGGATCGTCCCTCCGGCTAATGTGAAGTCAAGAAAATCTTGTGCATAAGCTCCAAGGAAAAGAAATACATATAAGAAAAACCAAGGATCTGTCACCTGCATGTGTATCAATAAATTTCCTTACTAGCAAAATATCTTTTTGTATGGATGTTACATATTCAATAGTACAAAATAGCATTACTAGACCAGAGTTCAATTGACCATTCATTTTATTTTTATTTTTTTTTAACCACTAAAACAAGAAAATTTGATGATCATCATCAATTAGCATGGACTAGATGAGCGTATGCATGTACATACCTTTGGGAAGATTGAGAAAGAGTTGAGAAGAGCTAGCTGGGGGAGGAAGGCATAAATAGTAATTGGGATAGAGGAAATTGGCCAGAAAGCATAGTGCATATAACATAGTGCCCAGAGAGGGTTCAGTTTTCGGATTCCGAAGGTTACCGGGCTGTCCTTGGAAAAGCAGACATCAAGGAGGCCCATAGCCCACCTCTTAGTTTGATTCAACAAGTCATCAAGGGTCTTTGGTGCATTCCCTAAAAATGCTGCTCTTGTGGGATGACAGAAAATGGACTTCCATCCTTGGCAGTGCAGTCTATATCCAGTGTAGAAGTCCTCAACCAAGGATCCGTACCTAAAACCCATCTGCACAAAACGAGCACTTCACTAAATCAGACTCATCAAATGATCAATTACGATCCTTTATATAAATACATTCAAATTTACACACACTTCGAAATCTGAAAAAGAAGCTAGTTTACCTCTGATCCCCAATTGGTTTTGATCTCGTAATTGCAGGCAGCTACTTGGTGTGCCAGAGCTAAAACTTCTTTGGATTGAATAGGCTCATTCAGAAGATGAGCAGGTCTTGGGTTTGGGGTCTTAGGGAACACAAATGATGATGGGCTTCCAAAGAAAGCTCGTCGCCTGAAAAAACCTCCGGTGCCAACATGTATAGGGCCACCCAATCCATCCATCCCGGCAGTTTCAATTTGGAACACAAATTTAAATTCAGCACCATATGTATCATTTTTGTTGATCCCATGGAATAGTTGAGGAAACTGAACGAATGCGAGTGTTGAATCCAAAGAAGGGTCCAATAGAAAACATAGAGCACGGAGAGGCGTTTGTGGATCATTTGAGAACATGTCGCAATCTAGGGTCAGGATAACCGGTGCATTTGTCATGGTGGCCGATACACGGAGCTTCAAAAGATGTAGAACAATTCAGTTCCATGACTTTGACAGTTGAAATTACTATGAAGATAGGTATCCCAAAAAAAATCATAAAATCATTTGGAGCACAAGTAGGAGTTTCTTACCAGAACGTTGAGGGCACCGGCCTTAAAATTGTGAGCCATGGCCCCACTTTTCTCTCTAGAAACATAGACAAGGTTCGGCATTGTGAGATCTGTAATGTCCTTATCATTTCCACTATCTAACAGAATCTGCTATCAACAAAATAAATATATTAGCGAGAAGAAGTCCTATTCCAGAGTCCTATACATGGAATACTGTGATTAATGGACAACACACACAACACCCTCATATATATTACTGGTCGTTCATTTGATGACTGACCTGATATATGTAATGAAACTTTAATGCTCTTGAAGCTAAATCTACTTGAGTTGGTAAAATTATAAAATAATTAGAGAAAATTTAAAATTTGTTAGAAGACACCATTTATGTCAATCATAGTCATTTCTTCACCAAAATAATCTTGTTTGAGTCGATTATATATATATAAATGGACCTTATAATTAGTATAGCTAAAAGTACTGTTTCAGGAAAAGAACTTTTTAATATTTAAAATTTTAACAATGGTTGTAAGGTTAGAAATTGCAAAAATGTGTAAATACTTGGAACATTAGCAACTGATCAGTCTTGTTTGAATTTTGGTTAATCTATTTGGACCGTTGTCTTAACGGCCGTGGTGATTATTGGGCCATGGGCCTCCGCAGCCTTGTTTTGCGGAACTTGCTAACTCCTTGGGCCTTTTAATCTGTTTTGTGAGAAAAACTTAATTACTCAGTGTTCCAGTAATGCTTAGGTATCACCCGCTAGTTATACACATAAGTAAGAAAACATCTATGTTAGGTGAAGGCATTAAGTGTGTTTGATACATCGCATTGGAGATGTCCGAGCACAACACGCACGGGAATGGACGGCTCTGATCGCCTAAGGCATGTTGCACTGGGCACATTCAAGCCGTCCGTGCACAAAACGTGCAGAAATTCTGATGGCCCAGTGCAAAGTGCACCGGGCACACCAAATATATTTTTCTATTTTAGTGGGTACTATCACTTTTTATAATTAGTGCGTAAGACCATATTATCATTAGAGTCGGAATAATTAATTTTTTTCTCCTATTTTGCATATGGATAGTCAGAACACAAAGATGAGAATAACGTAGGGTGTGTTTGTGAAAAAAAAAAAAAAACTCTTTATTGATAAAAAAAATAAAAAAAAATTTATTGATAAAAAATAAACAATCTAATATATAGGCTTCTTTTTGTATGGCTACTGGCACTCCTCAGGCCTTGTTGTTTGGCCACATGGCTTTTGCACTGAGCACGTCATGAGCACAATTAATTCTCGATAGGAATGTCAATTTTTACAGCCCCGCCGGGACCCCGCCCCGTTCCGTCCCGTTAATAACGGATATGGGAACACGTATTATACCGTTGGGGCGGATATGAATACAAATTTTGTACCCGTCGAGGGTCACGGGGCGGGTAAGGGTTCAATATACATATCCTAGGGGTCCCGCCCCGCCCCGCCCCGCCCCGCATATAACTATATTTAATATATATATATATTAATAAGTTATTTTAGCGGCTTACCCAACTCATCTCTTACAATCCTAATTTGGGATGTAAACTTGGTATTAAATTTGCTTTTGTTTTGGTTATGGTGGAAGTTGGAGCTTAGAACTTCTTATGATTTGGTTGTATTAAACTTTTATTTTTGTTTATTATGTTCTTTGAATTATGTTATGTGCATGTTATTTTTTTTATTTTTGTTAGAATACATAATTTTATTTATGTTGTGTCATTCCTAGGCTTTGCACATTTAAATAGCAGGAGTTTAAGCTCCAAAAAGTAGGAGAAAAAAATTTGTTAGTGGGGCGGGCACGGGGGCACAGTATTTCCTAACTGGGCGGGGTTAGATATCAAAATTTAACCCGTTGCGGGTCTCGGGGCGGCCATGGACTTAACAAAAATTAAAAGGGGCGGGACGGGATTTAGGAAAACCCGCTCCAAACCCGCCCTTTTGCCATCCCTAATTCTCGAACTCTATTTGATGCTTCCATTAATTATTTTGCACTGAGCACGTCATGAGCACAATTATTTCTCGAGCTATATTTGCTGTTTACATTAATTATTTGATATGTTTAATTTTCTTATTGGCTGTTTGCCTACAAAATATTGGATGTTACACTATAGAAAGTCAAATTTTCAACAGTAAAAACAAAAAAAAAAAACAAAAAAGCAAAAACAGGCACCTCAATCACAGAAGGATGGTGTCGGTGGGTAAATCCATCCGTCCATTTGGTAAAAGCTTGTAGTTCCCTGTCTTTAGTAATATAATCAACACAAACGGAGGCCCTTTTGACAACATTCTCGACCCTTGCTTTCATGCTGTCGTACCTCAGCTGCAACATCAATCATTTAATAAATATAAATTTTTTTGAACCATCTCAATTATTTTGATGGTCACGTTTCTATTAATTTAATTATTATTAAATGTTGCATGGTTGAGGAGGAAAGAAATCTATATTAGTTTTGTGTAATAAAGTGCTTTTCAGCTTCATAGAATTGCGTGTAGTTGTTTTATTTTAACATATCACATTTCAAGACACCATCAAATATATTTTTCCACGTCAAATAATAAGACACGCCACTTATATAAACACACACATATAATATTAAATTAAAAACATAATATATATATATGTGTGTGTGTGTGTTAGCACAATATATATATATGTGTGTGTGTTTATATAAGTGGCGTGTCTTATTATTTGACGTGAAAAAATATATTTGATGGTGTCTTGAAATGTGATATATTAAAGAAAAACAACTACACGCAATATATATATATATATATATCAGACAGGTCCACGTTCCATCCGCCCCAAGGACTTGAGTCATGTCATGACTTGCTGTTACATTTTTTATTTCATATTGAATTACATATGACCCATGGTCACTATTAATTCGAATCTGACCACAGTTTTTATATTTAGATGCATCCTTCTAAAATACTCTGTACAATTTTTTTAATATATCACCAATCCGATCGATGGACCAGTTGTCAGATCGTGTAAATAAAGTTAACTTGCATGAATTATTAGTTATTTTGAATAAGATTATGATCTATAAATTAAAAGCGTTTTATAACTTATGGAGCTAGAGGACATATGTCAAACAATTTTTAATGCTTTCATATATAACCACTATTTATGGTTTTATAGTATTTTGGAGGGGTCACACATTAATTACCTCCTTTTTTTTTTTTCCTTTTTTTTTTCCTTATGTTACAAGCTAGCTATTTATTGGCAAATCATAGTTTATAGTTTTTTAAAAATTTGGGGGTCGATCTACACCCATTACAATATGTGTGCCCTTGAGATAACATTATAGTTGCACATAATACAACATCATTTGTCGCTAAAAATGAATCTCATAAACGCATTCGCAGTGTCTCCTTTCATCACCTCATCTATATAAGTGGTACATGTTAAAACAAGCCCAAAAATTCCACAATTTATATATATATATAAAGTGCATTTATTTGTACAATTAATGAATTATTATAATATTTTCATTTTCATTTTTCTTTTCTATTTTATATTGTTTTAGAAATAACGATTTCAAAAATTAAAGCTATGATCCATCAATATTTCTCTTAAAATAAATATCCTGGATTCTATTTTGTATTCCATTGATAATCCTAAATCTAGAAATATCAAGTGTATGATTTCAAGAGACAAGACAAGCTGAAAATAGAACGTAATGGCCTGATTATTAAAGGTGGGATTATTAAGGGCTGTTGTTTTCTCGTTGGATTTGAATGAGGATGGCTTTGGGTTTATAAAGGGAGATATGAATTATCATCTAATCGTTTAAGTTTTTGGAGGATTGGCATATGTCTAATCGGTTGTAAGTAGTGCATGTTAAAACAAACCCAATATACACAATGGGTTGACGCTATGTCCCAATGTTTACCTGGTCCTTTTGCCATTAGGGTGAACGGATAGACAATTTAAGGAGTATGCAGCACCACCTATGGCATCATGTTTTCTCTAAATATATGAATTTGATTTACGTGAATGGAGTATGCACATGATCGAGACTAGCTAATTTTTGTAATGGTATTAAAAGTATTCTTACATTTATTTATTTATTTATTTATTTATTTGTTTTGTAAAAATCTTAAAAATGACCCACTCAATTTATAATGATACCCCATTATATGGTTCAAGATCACCTATTTTTTTTTTTTTTTTTTTGGGTAAATGGTAAGCTTGTATAAAGATTGAAGAGTGTACATGGTGCCCCAATTAGTGGAAACAACAAACAAACAACAAACAAACATTCCAAAACAGTAACCCCAACTATGAGATACAAAAAGGACAAACACACTTATGATCAATAGGATAACTTTCCATCAAATTAGTAGTATGATTAGTCCAAATTCAGCATATATATATATATGCATGATATTTAGCAAAGAGTGTAAAGTAATTGTAAATGATGATAATTAATAAAATATATATTACGAGTACCTTAATATCACTAGTCTCCGGTAACCAGGCAGGTTCCGATCCAAAGTACAGCTCAGGACTCCTCTCTAGTATCTTGTACTTCCTACAATAGGGTAGCCAGTATCTGGCAAACTTAGCAGCCTCCATGAAAGCAAAGAGTGTGAGCTGAGAGCCTCCATCATCGGAGACATACACCGATAACTTCTCGGTCGGATAATCATAGGCCATCACTGATAGAGCAGTGTTCACCACACTCATTGGAGGCTCCTTGTATGGATCAGCAGTGCATATAAACACGTCCAATGCTGGATAATCACTCTCTTTAACAACTTGTGCTAGGGTTTCCGGGAAAACTCGGCCACGAATGGGGCACATGCGAAAAGCTTGATAAGTAGCCCACATGAAAGCAAGCACTACATCAGAGAGCAACATGGAAATGGAGATTATGGTGTTTAGATTATGGAAATGATGGTTTAGCAGAGCTAAAATGACACATGCATATACGAGTGCGTATGTGCGGTTTGCCCACGTGCGACACATGGCCACACGTGTGTGAAGAGGAGGGGTTTTCATGGTCATGCTCTTCTTCTCTGTTGAACCTCCTATTTCCTCCTTTGGATATGCTCACATAAGTTTGTATCCATTTATAGGAGTTGTCGGCACAAAGCTTACTTCCAATAGTATCCCTACTTTAAAAATCATTCTTTATCTTTCAAATAAAATAATGAACACGTTAGTCTAAATTTTATTTTATTTTATTATTATTATTATAAATAAATACTTATAAAGAAGTACAGAACATATACTGGGCTTGAACCTTTTACTTCTCTTTTAAATAAAAATTTATAGTGACTCTACTAATAATTTAGTATTTTCTTATCTAAAATTTTTATGAGATTCACATCCTTTGAACTTCTTAATCCTCCATAACAATTATCCTACTCATGGTCTATACGTTAATTTGATTGTTACTCTAATTAGTATAATTTGTATTCACAAAAGTATATATATAGTTCAAATAAGATGGGGAAATCTTATGTTAACTTTTAGAGTACTGTCCGTTGAATTTTGACTTCCTTAACATTTGTGATTTGTGAGTGATTATAAGTATTTGAAAGGATTCAGAGCAAAGAACACTCTCGATCAAAAAAATAATAATAAAATAAAATATACATAGCCTCTGCAACAAAAATTCAAACTGCCACAATTATTGAATCTCTGATTTGTTTTCATGAATTTCTGGCCCTGGCGAATGCCACTAGTTTGGTCCTACTCTGACATTTATGTTCCAAAAATTTCACACCTACTTTAAAATAATCTGTGTGTCGATTCATGCTGTTAGCTAGGGTAGCAGGTGTTGTGTCAGTGGTTTTAATTAAATGTTTTCAAGGCTGAAATAGTGAAATAGAGCTTAGCTTTGGGGTAGGATCGATTCGAACCACATAATGTTTCGTATTTTTATCGTTTTCATTCATCATTCATTGCGTTATCCTCCTCCATCACGTTCCATTATTATTAATAATACTATATAAGGTTTTTTGGCCCCACACAGTCTTGCTTTTGGTGAAAAAAAAAAAAAAAAATTCTTGCTTTTCCTTTTGTATACAAGACAAAAATCTAAGTAATTAATATATTAACTACACATCCACAGACATTTATATTTGCGAATCATGTATATATACCGCATACATATACATATACACACGCGCATATATATATATATATATATAATTGGTACTCACACATTCATATATGTCTCTATTAAAATTTGAACTTTTAAACTTTTTTTAAAAAATAAAATCTTAATACCGATGGACTATATATCTACCATATTTTATTTTCAGTTATTTTTGTTATATAATAAGGGCACCATTTTAAGTATGCATTCTTTGAACTTGTAACGATAATGTAATATTTGAATTCTGACAAAGAGCAGTCATGTATATTTTAGCTTCTTAAAAAATAAAGTGAAAGTGATTGATGATAATGTCAATTAGTTATTTATTTATTCAAGGTAATAGTGATGGATGAGGGTGCTCTTTGCCCCAACCTTTTGCGAGTTTAGCCTTGCCTAAGGCACAACCAATAGAATGGCCTAAAATATTTTATTTTGATATATTATAGTCTTGCTAAATTTTTTTTTTTTTTTTTTTTCAATTGAGAAATTTAGTTGTTGGCTCAATAGATTACACTAACCCTAGTTATTGAATATATAATTGAGGAATTGCTAAAAACTTTCCATATCTCTCTATCTTTTGTCTTCTTTTTTTTTCCACTTATTCCTCATGTACTTTTCCTTCTCTCTCATTACAACTTTTCTCTCCTCTTCTCCCCTCATCGCAATCTCATAGTCTCACTTTTTCATAAGATTTATTGGAAGAATTTTTTTAAAGCATTGGACCGAATTTTTCTAAAATCAAATTTTATTGTTCTTTACCTTAAATTATTATGTAGTGTTATTAGTTTTTGTTATCAATAAAATTGTATATTTTGTTTGTATGTTGTGATCATTTTTATTTATATGATTGAATATGTCATTTAGGAAGTAAATAATAATAATAATAATAATAAACTAATTCAATTATTGATAAAATTGTTACAGCTAATAATCAAGACATAACAAAAAAAAAAAAAAAAAAAAAGAGATCGAAAATTTAATAAATGAACAACCAAGTCATCTAAAAGATTTAAAAGATTATACAATAGTGAAAGTTTTTTTAAAAAAATATTTTTTGCTTAAGGCCTCAAATTGGATTAAGCCACCCCTATACTGTGCCCTGATTTTTTAAATTTCTTTTTTTTAAAAATTAAAAATAATCAGGTAAGTGGTCACAAGCACTGCTCCGAGGATCAAACTCCTCCTATCTTCTTTAAGGGTAGGGTTGTTATACCATTGGCTAATGAAAGAAAACAATGGAGAGCATGAGATCAAACACCTACGAAAAACATGATGAGCCTACTTGGTTTAGTTTCTATTTTTTTGAGAATTTTTTTCTTTTTTTCAGAAGGTTAAACTATTTTATAGATTTTTTAAAATATGTACAGTAAGGCCGAAGCCAAAGTGAAGAAAAACCAATCAAGCCCAAACGGACGAGAAAAACCAACCAGGCCCAAACGGACCCAGAACTACAACAACAGGCCCTATACAACCAGCTAAACATAAACTAAGGTGTATTTGATAAAATTAAAAAATAAGTACTGTATTGAATTTTTTTTTAGAATTTTCAGCATTCACTATTCAATTATAAGTGATATCTCTGTCATTTAAAATTTTACCCTATTTTAAGTAGCGTTTACCATTTTCAGTTATATTGATATGGCGATATTAAACGCACTTAATTGAATAAGTACTTAATCTGTTCAGAATTAAACACTAAATTGAATTTTCAAACAGCACCAAGTCTACCACACGAGTAGGCCCATAGGCTCATTCCATAATTGAAATATTCAAGCCATTGCAATAACAATATGAAGCGGCCATCTCTGGCGAACACAACTCAGTCATTAAAACTAGTTGCATGATCGAATAAGAGCACCTGGAGGGCGCGACGGTGGTCTGATTAATGGAGAAGGTAAATTCCAAACATTACAGGCACGCCGAGCAGCTGCGCCGTCTTTAAGTGATAAGGGTAGGAGTCTTTCCCTGATTGATGATGTGATCTTCAATAAGATTGCATTTTGTGAACTATCAATTCCTTTGAATACTCTTGAGTTCCTTTCCCCCCCAAATTTGGTAGACCGATGGTGAAAGTTCCAACTTGTTAATGGCATTTGCTATACTCTTTGATGACTAATGATGTAAGGCCCTGAAAATGAAATCATTCCATTGTGATCTTGTGAAGAATCCACGAGTGTTTTGAATGTGAGACCATATTGGAGCTGCCAAGGAAATTAAGAAGAAGAGATGGTTCAGGGATTCCTCATATGAGAGACATAAAGAACAGTAGTTTGGGATATGTTTATAGGTACTTGAGCTGCGATCAAGAGGAGGTAATCGGTTGAGCACAACCAACCACAAAATGACTCAATGTCTTGGAATAGACATTGAGTTCCAAACCAGTTAGTACCATGGAACAGGTGATGCAAGGGATGGCATTGCTTCAATGGTGTGTCTGAGAGTAAACTTGCCATTTGGGGATGGCCTTCAACTTCAAGTGTATGTATCAATACCTGAGGGAGTACTAAATGCAAGCTTGGGCGCACAGACATAATGTCCTTGGGAATTAAGCTTCATGAGTGTGCAGACATCCAAGTATTCATTCTGGCATTGAAAGGAATTCCACTTGCTAGAATCTGATCCTGTGTGAACGTACGTGCAACATAGGGGACTATCATCTAGCCAGTTATGATGCCAGAAGGTAATCTTCTCACCATTTCCAATATTAACTTTAATCAGCCTTTTAAACATTGGTCTAAGCTGCAAAAGACTCCTCCAATTATAAGACCATTAATTTTTGTGGGATATTCAATTTCCGAAAATATCTATCCTTCACTTGATGATCAAGTAGGATTGCCCATTGGACTAGTAAAGCAATTTCATATGCAGGGAGGATCAATTAACATGTTTATTTGACCTAAAACAGTAACCCATGATATAAATAGTCTTTGCAAGAACTACTTTTAGGCTGGGATTTGGGACTGGTCTGCCGTATCCAGACTAATACCAATCCAACCCATTTCATGAATAAAATGTGACCAACAACAGGAAAACAAAAGTGGTTTGGCTAAATGTTTTTTAAGAATTGAAAATAAAAATACAATAAAAACAATCTGTTTGGTACCAAGGGCGGAGCCAGGATTGCAAAGTAAGGGGGGTTAAAAATAATTAAACTCATGTTTACTTAGTGTATCATTCATGCTCTAAATAGAGAATTCTCATGCATCAATTATTCAATTAAACCCAATAATTTACAACCTTCTAACACATTTATTGTTTGGTACGTACATTGACAATTTTAGAAAGAAAAAATATTTCTTAAATTTTTTTTCCGTAATTAAGTAATATTTTCTGAAAATTTAATTAAAAAATATATATTTTCAAAAAAATATCTTTTAATATATATATATTTTAATTTTTATGTTATTGAGAAATACTTTTTTGAGTCACAAACTAAGCAGACATCACGTTGTTAAGATTAACTCTATGATAATTTCCCTTATATATATATATATATCATTCGAGTGATTTGTCATAAATATCATCACTTATCATAAGTGATCAAATTTAGCCTTAATGATGCAAACATGAAACAACAATATAGTTTAGTCTAACAATACAATTCAGGGTAACTACTATACATATTCGTGATCTTAAATGACACTAATCATAGTCTGGTCAGCTATAGCTATTTCACTTTCTGAAAAAGTGAAAATGTAAATACATAATATAATTTTTACCCAAAAAAAAACCGACCGTATATAACTTCATGCCTTTAGTGTGAAAGAAGCTGTGTAAAGAGCCAATGCTACTATACATATTCGTGATCTTAAGTGAAAGTGTAATATTTAATATATAATATACCCAAAAAAAACTTTTAAATATAACTTCATGTCTTAATTTAGAGTGATAGAAGCTGCTGTGTAAAGAGCCAATGCCAGAAATGTGGAAATGATGGTTGTCTTTGTAGGCATCCTTCCTTTATCACTCCTCAGAACCATGGCCTCATAAATTGGCCAGCAGTTCAGAATCACAAAACCAGCTATAAACATCTGCCCAAACAGTCCCTCCAAATGTTCACTTGTGAAAACTTTTCTCAGCCCCACCAAGAACGCGATTAAATTGATTATTGCCGCCATTGCCATTGGCACGAACATAGGCGACGAGACTCCGAATTCGAAGGTCCCTTGATCGTACCTTTTACTTTGTTCATCGTCAACGACTTTGCTGGTCACATTGAATCCTTGTGTGGCAATGCCCAAGCGTTTGGTCACGTATTCCATCAATCCAAACAAGTAAGATGAGAGTCCTCTTACCAACCACATCCTCTGATCACTCCACCATCTTTTTACACTACCATTTTCTAGGACGAAGTCAAGGCAATCTTGCACGTAAGCTCCAACAAATAGAAATACATACAAGAAGAACCATGGGTCTGAGACCTGTTTCACATTATTATAGTTTTAATCAGAATATTTTTGCACAGTTTCAGAAAATTATCTATTAGTCCTACATTTAAATTCTAAAGACCAATAACACCTATGAAATTTTTTTATGACAACTGAGTCCTACTTTCAGTAATTATTTTCGTTCATAATTTCGTTAACATTGATTTTTTTTTAATTTTTTTGTTCAATGTTGCCCCTTTATAGAAATATCATTATTGTAATTTTCCTAAGAAAAATTACAAAAAAGTGGAGTTTTGGGATTCTATTTATCCAAAAATGGAGTCAAAGCAACACTTTTCAAAGTCATACACTCTGACAAAAACTTGATGTGGAAATAGAAAAATGCTATTCATTTGCCCAAACCATCCTTAGTCTTTGGGTACCGCTTTTATATACTCATATATCATTTTGGTGCAAATCAAGTAATCAAAATGATTTACACAAAAAAGTAGTACATTTGTGCACAAGAGTAGTACTTACATGCACAAATGTGGTACCTCTGTACAAGAGTGGTACTTACTTACATAAAAATGGTACCTCCCTCTAATTACAAGAATAGTACATTTGATCACAAAAGTAATACAAAAGTAATACTTATATGATAAAAGTGATATATCTGTGCACGTGATTAATACTTATATGCACATTTTTCTCATTTTCACAGTAGACTATGCTCAAAGTCCATGGCTTTGACTTTTCAGGGTAAATAGACTCCAAAAATTATACTTTTCTATAATTTTCCCATTTTCTTATATAAAAGAAAATTTCAAATAAAAATCTATACTATATTGATTATATATATATATATATATATATATATATAATTAAATTTACATAAACTTATCTATAGTTCTTGAAATCTCTTATTTCTAAAACAATAAAATATATATATATATAAAAAAAAAAAGGTGAAAAGAATTTAGTAATTCATTAATTATACACGAATACACTTCATAAAAAATATATATATAGATTTACACAAACTTATCTTTAGTTCTTGTTTTAATATTTTATTATAATTGAACATAGTTAAAAATATTTGTTAAAAGTAGTATTTTATGGTCCTTATAAACGTTGACTTATTTGCCTTTAAAACTGACAAGTAGGACTAAATAGTACTCAGATTCCTAACATAAATTCATATATAGTTACTTAATTATTTATCTAATTCTAATTTATTTATTTACTGGATATGTTCCATATTATTTGGTACCCAAGTGATCACAAAGTCCTGTCTGCCCAGGGAAAAAAAAGGGGGCAAAAAAGTCAGTTTTTGTCCGCTTGTGACATTTTGTACAAATGAGGAAAAAGAAAGTGAGAGATACCTGGGGGAAAATGCTGACTCCATTGAGTAGAGCCAATTGAGGTATGAATGCATATATGGTGATGGGAATGGACCAAATGGCCCAGAAAGCAGAGTGCGCATAGCAATGACCCATTAGAGGGCCCATGGACCGGGTACCAAAGGTGAGAGGACTGTATTTGGAGAATGCCACCTCAAGGAGGCCCACGGACCATCGCTTGTTCTGGCTCAGCACATCATTCAGGGAAATGGGTACATCGCCCAAAAATGCTGCCCTTTTTGGATCACAGAAAACAGATTTCCAGCCCTCACACTGCAGTCTATACCCTGTAAAATAGTCTTCAACCAAAGACCCATATCTGAACCCCATCTGCGCATTTTACATGTCATTGGGTCATCCATAAATTATATCTACTTTTTGAGAAATTGTATGGTCCCCGGACCATTGTTCCCAAAGAATCACTAATTGCCGTGCAATAAAAAATTTGAATAAAGCTGACATATTTCTACAAACTTGTCGGCTAGTAATTGGGGAATATTGGTCCTGGATTCCTCCTACTTGTTCTTACATATAGATACACATATATAGATATATTATGTATTTTCTAATCATCAATAAGCTTACCTTGGAACCCCAGTTGGTCTGGTGCTCATAGTTGCAACCTGCTACATGATTTGCCAGTGCCGAAATTTGTTGGGATTGGATAGGCTTGTCAATGACATGATCCGGGCTTAGCTCGGGTAATTCTGGAGTGACAAAAGATGATGGGCCTCCAAAGAAACATCGGCGAGAGAAAAAGCATCCGGTCCCCAAATGATTAGGGCCTGAAAGCCCATCCATCCCCAGAGGGTTGATTCGAAATAAACTTTTGATCTCAGAGGCATAGATATCATTCTTATTGAGACCATGAAACCGCTGAGGAAACTGAACATACCCTAATTTGGGCAAAATTGCAGGGTCTGAGAAGTAACATAGCATGCGAATGGGCGTTTGGGGATCATTGGAGTACATGTCGCAATCTAGCGTTAGTATTATTGGTGCATTGCTCATGAAAGCCGATACTCGGAGCTTCAAAATACAAAATTATATATATAAGAAACTTTTAAACGTGTATATAAATATATATGGTCACGTAACCACGTCAGACCTAATAGAACATTGAATATGAAAGAAATGGTATGGCTTGCTTACCAAGACATTAAGGGCACCAGCTTTGAAACGATGTGGAGATGCTGGACTTTTCTCTCTGGATACGTATATAAGGTTTGGCATTGAATGGCCTGTGATGTCTTTGTCTTTATAGATCTCTAACAAGACCTGATTTGCAGACCATTGCAGTGCATATAATTACCTTTAATCCAAGCAAACGTATACACAGACTCATAATTGGCTCAAACTTTCTATTTCGAAAGGAAAGTTTATACCATTTAGCTAGACTCATATCAATGAATTAAAACTTAAAAGGATGAAAACTTGGAAAAAGGTATAAGTGGTAAATGACCTGAATAACAGTGGGATGATGTTGACGAGTGAAACCGTTTGTCCATTTGTTGAAAGCCTGGTGTTCTTGTTCACTGTTGATGTACTCATCCCCAACCTTCCCGCTCTCAACAACACTCTCTACCCTTGCCTTCATGTTTTCGTACATCATCTGTAATATGCATCATCAATATCTAGAGTTAATGGTCAATTAAGCTCATCACTATAACTATCTAATTTAATTAGTCCCACACTAGTAAACCTTTGAAACAAATATAAATGTATAAAATTAATTAATAATTTCAAAACAATCAATTTAGAAGTTGATATTGCCGGTCAAATGGGCCGGTGTCATAAGCAACTCTAGATGTGTTTATATATACATAATATATATATTGTCTTAATTGCCTAAATAAATAAATAAATCAAACAACATATCCTAAATTTTGTGCAACATTTCAATGGAAAAGTGTAATGATCACATTGGCTGTTATGAGTTCTCAGAAATGGATTTTTTAGTTGAAAAATTACAATTTACTTTCAAATCGGAACAACCCACTTAGCAATTTCTAAGAAATAAAAATGGATGATTGTTAAAAAGTGAAAAATATGGGTTAATTGCATTAAATCCCCTGAGCTTTTATTTCTCTCTCAAAAAGCTCCCTGAATTGTAATCTCAGATACACCCTTATGGACCTCATCATCCTACTACCATCCTTTGCCTTCAAAACCTGCCTGCAACTTCTAATGATCATATATACTTACCAAAACAGTGACTCTGAGTCACTATTACCAACACATGATACTTCATCTGTCTCAAATGTCATGTGAGTCACAGTTATTATGCAACGAGGGAGTATATAATAGCCGCCAACCTATACCCAGACAAATTCACCAGCGCCACCGTCACCGGCACCGACCATGAAAACGATTAGGAAATCTCCCAAAGACCTGATTTAAAATCAATCAAAATTAAATCTAAGAATACCCCACTGATTCAAGCCCTCGTGGGAGCTGAGAAAGTGGTGGAAACCACCAACGTCCCCATCGCAGGGTAGAAAAAAACACCGCCGGAGACCGTAAGCCGACGGCGGTGGTGGAAGTTTTTTCCCCTGTTTTTGGGTCTCCCTCTCTCCCTCTCTATACTCAACACGTTCCTCACCTTCCCCAATCAAAGCTCTCTCTCATCTCCTGAGATCCGGATTCGCCCACCATCGCCTGAATCAACAGAGGCAGCTTCAGCTCTTGTCCGGCCTCCATCATCGCCGCTCAACAGCTATGGCAGCTTCGGTATCTCCGACAACCCACTTCTCCGTCGGTGAGTAAAGAGATAGAGAGCGGCGAGAGACAGCAGGAAAAAATAAAAATAATTAAAGAAGCCAATAACATTCCTCGTGGAGAGAAAAAGCTGAAGAGAAAGAAAGCTTGGGAGAAGGAAATAGTTGAAGAAGCCGTGTTTGGCTTATAAAACCTTCTCTTTTTGGGCTAGATGTCGCTTCTCTATTGGTTCAACAACGTTTAAAAAGTAATTGTAAACGTTTCATAGTTTAATGCGACAAATTGATAGTTCAGTAACCTTTCAAAAAAAAAAAAATGATAGTTAAGGAGGTTATTTTTAATTCACAGGGTTTAATGTAATTAACGGTGAAATGCTTTTAAAAAGTTCAGTATCACGTAAAAAACCTCACAAAAATATATACATTCCCCTTCAAACAAAAATAAAAAGAGTTAATTTGAATGACACTCTCTTAAATTTAGTCAAATATTACACTTAAATATTTTTTAAAAATAACTATCACTTAGATTTATTTTTATTTTTGGTCATAGTCTCAGTTAAAAATATAAAAAAGATAATTTTGTACTTAATTTTTAAATCTCATTTATTTTTAAATACCAAATTACTTAAATGACCATTATACCCTCATTGACACTCCCTCAGAAAGTGCTCATTGCCGCAACAAGACCACCACCCACAAGCCCTCCGTAGTCGTCGACGACTACTGGAAGGTGGCCGGAGCCATCATGGATGGAGGACTGGTGCATGTCGAGAGTCACTTTAACTTTAGATTATTTCAGCAAAAAGAGGAGGATGTTCAGTCTATGGCCGAATCTAGAGGGTTTGTGCAACGTTGTTAGAGAAGATGATTTAATGGGTTGTGAACTTGTGATAAAGTGCTTCGCAGTTACAATATAATAATTTAATAAACGACTGAGATGGAGGGAAGAAAAGGGAGCTGATTCGCTGCTTCGCGGTGCAAAGTAAACAATTGAGATTAACGGCCAGGATAAAGTTAGCCATAGGCAACGCTAAGGTGTTGCACACGAGCATCAGCAACCATGCACCCACGATGTGGAGCTCGCCCTATGCTTTATACATGTATGAAGTATTATATTATGGATAATGTTTAGCTATTTACTGATGAGTAAGGTAAAGCTACTCACCCCTATATAGTCTAATAATAAAATAACACATCACATTAAAAAATAAAACAATCCACACCTAAAAACACTATATACGAAAGCAGAAAAATGTGTGAATTATCTTACTATTAAAGGTGATGTGTTATTTTGTTATTGAACCTCATAAAGGTGAGTAGCTTCACCCTATTCACTGGTGAGTAGTTAAGTATTGCCCTTATATATATATATATATATATATATATATATATATATATATAACATAAGAAATAATAAAGATATATAATATAATTTGTAAGTTAATAAAATATTTAGGGATATTTTAGTCTTTTTATCTAATTATTTAAGTTAAAGATATTAAGTCATTTTACATTGTGTTAGAACGGTGCAAGTAACGGTGCAAGTGTGAATAAAAAATGGAACAAAAGTTTGTGATATTTTGGTTAAACCTTAAAGGGTGTCAAATATTAACCCAAATAAAAAATATCAAGAGATAAAAGGAACATAAAATTTTCAAGGTAAAAATGTGAAACTTTTGACAATTTCATAAATAATTATAACCCAAATCTCAGTAAAAATTTAAAATACTTGAGTAACAATATCAAATTTGCAAGTTTGAGCATATATTTATGAAGTACCACCATAAAAGGACCAATCATAATTGCCATGAAAGTAAAAAAATTAGATAAAAAAGTTGACACATTTATTTTCTTAGCAGACTGTGATTAGTCGGACAATAACCTTCGAACTTATAATAAAAAAATTACTTGACAAGGATAGGTATTACTATTTACCTTGATATTTTCAGTCTCACTGTACCTAGAGTGGTTGGATCTGAAATAAGCATCTGGACACCTCTCTACAATTTTGTTTTCCCTACAGAAGGGTAACCAGTGGCTTCCAAATTTAGCAGCCTCCATAAAAGCAAAGAGAGTCAACTCGGAACCTCCATCGTCGGATACATAGACCGAGAGCTTCTCAGTAGGGTAGTCATAAGCCATGACCGATAAGGCCGTGTTCACAACACTCATGGGTGGCTCTTTATACGGATCTGCAGTACATATAAACACGTCCATCGCCCGAAAATCTTTCTCCGTCGTGACTTTGTGTAGGTTTTCCAGGAACTCTTGACGATAGATGGGTCGCATGCGATGAGATTGAGTGGTGGACCACATGAACCCTAGAAGAATATTGGAGATGAACATCGAGAGGGAGATGAAGAAGGAGACTAGGGTGGTGAAGTGGAAAAGTGAGAGCGCATGGTGAGAAAGCAGAGCAAATATGGCACACGTGTAAACTGCTGCGAACAAGCGGTTTGTGTAAGTGCGACAGGAGAGCTTGAACGTGTGAAGGGGGTCCTTGGTGGTGGTGGTAGTACCCTTCATTTCTGTGCTGCTCTTTCACAGGGATGATGGAAGGGTTAGTAGGTCAATACTTATAAGCATGTGAAATGATAACACGTGTGAAAGTCATATAGAACAATACACGTGAGTAGCTCCCATAGGTATTATTTAGATATTCCATCCTTTTTTTTTTAGTGGTATTAGAATAAGGATGTAGATTGAAACATTATAAAAAATATAAAAATAAAAACTTCTGGTTTTCAAATGCAAAATGATTTGGAGTGCAACAAATACCACTATTTTTTGTTTTAGATTTTCAAATCATTCATGCTGGTCAACGATAGGCTTATCACATTAGCGGTCCCACTACAGAACTTCTTATCACCACGACTCTTTGTTTTTTCTTTTTAATTTTAATATTTGTCTGATTATCACATTGGTGCATTGAAAAAAAATGAGGAAAGGAAAAGAAAGAAAAGGGGATGGAAGGTAATTAAAAAATTATGTTTAGCATAACTAATTGAAAAGAAATGGAAGGGAATGGATGGTTTTGATAGGATAACACAATGCATAAACATAAAATTTTTTATCCTCAATCCCAAAAATTGGAGGAAATGGAAAAAAGGGGACTGAGAGACTTGACTGATGCCAAATTTACCCTTACACAAAATCAAGATTACACTTGATTTTAGGATTTAGTTTGCAAAACAAGAATAATTGATTGGTTGATTTAGAAAAAAAAAAAAAAAAAAATTAAAACAAAACCCATGCATACAGGTTAGCAATTACAGAGAAAGGGGGGCAAGCTTGAGAGTTGAGAGACAGAACGGCTGAAGCTTGCAAACGGCGAACTCGAACTGGAATAGCAGGCGATGGAAAGTGAAAGATAAGAGTTTTGATTTTTTGAACAATCTGAAATGATAAGTCGATATGGGTTTTAATATAGGTAATAAATAGGTTTTGAACTTTTGATTCTTGTAGACAGATAGATAAACTGAAATATATGAGCTTCTGATTCTTGTAGATTTTGTAGTTTGCAGTTGCACAGAGAAAGAGTGTGTGTACAAGTTCAAAGTTGAGAACGAGAATAGAAATGGAGGCAACTGGGGAGGCTAAAATGAAATGCCTTAAAAATATTATTTTTATATTATAGAATTAAATTTATAAATTTATTTTTTAAAATATAAAATGGTATAATAGTAAATTTATTAAAATAGTTTATTTTCCTTTCTTTTCCCAAATATGATTATTATGTTTTCTTTTCTTTTCCTTCATTAATCAACCAAACACAATGGGGGTTAAAATTATCATTCCCTTTCCTTCCTTTTCTTTTCCCTCATAACGTATATTATCCTTTCTCTCCTTTCCCACCCTACCAAACATAGCCTAAGGGACTTCCTAACACCACTCTTGTCAAAGTAAAAGCCGTTTGAGGTATAATGATGTACCAGCTTCTAATTACACTTGGCAAGTGAAGATGTTCCTGTCACATCTCGAATTCTTTAACAAAATTATCAATTTATTCAACTCAAAATACATCAAAATACATCCAGGATTACAAAAAAATGCACTCTTTTATACAAAGTCAATTTCTTGAAATATATACAAAATTCTACAATTAAATAAAATAAATCATCCATGCCAATTCTTCAGCCTAAGCCCGAATCTAGCAATCCCCGTCCATCTTCGGTACTTGAAACTGGAAGGTGGTAAGACTGAAAGCCTTAGTAGGAAAAACCATAACAAGAATTTCATGGAGGTTTAACAAAACAACTTCACAAAATATACATATTCATGTGAGTATATAAACCAAATAAATATGCATTTCATGAAAACATTTAATAAAAACATTGAAGCAAAACCTCCCCATGCCACTTAAGGTATAGAGAACCCTACACTGAAAAAGATTAATTGCCCACTGGATCATCAACCTTCAAGCTCCGGCCTCCTCTGCAACCTCAGCTCTCACACACTGTCATTTCTCTCAACTCACTCTGTATCATTTCTCAAAACTCCCTCTGTTTTCACATATAAACCAAGTCATAAACACCCACTTTAAAGGCAATTCCACCGACCTAAAAAAAACTCAGCCAACAAACCCCACACCACATAATAAAGCCACGTAATGGAAAAGCAAAACAAGAAAAAAAGTTGGCCAAAAATATCAATTGGGTCCCACCATCATTTCTTCTTTTTTCTCCCACCTTCTACTACCTTCTCCAACTTTCCATTAATAACCTAATAATTAATATTATCAAATCACACCATAAAACAAGTCAAAGTGGGACCCGCAATACATCATTCCATTTCCAATTCCTTACCCACTTCGGTTGAACTTGTCTTTCCTCTTCCACTTCCCAGCCTACTATATATATATATATACAATGTAACAAACCAATTTCAAACTCATTATCCATCTCTAGTGGGACCCGCACTAAAGTTATTACAACCTTACTTTTCTTTCATCAGATCAGCCCAAGTGAATAAACCAAATTCACTACATAAATGACATCAAGTGGCGGACCCCACAAGAACTCATTACCGTTCCTTTATCCTATTTTTCCTTTCAGACAAAACATAGATATAAAAATAACTACTACATTTTTTTTAAAATAATAATAATAAATTAAAATCTAGAAAAAAAAATTGGGTTATCACAATCTCCACCACTTAAAAAGAATTTCGTCCCCGAAATTCAGATCCAACAGTCTTCGCGTACTCGAAAACACTAATAACCACAAAACTAAATCCAAAAATCCTTAATCCAGGCGATGTGAGATACAATGATATGTAGGACGTTGTGGTAGCTGACATCATTAGTCACCTGCCCATACACTCCGTAACCGTTGTGGTAGCTAGTCGATGCGTCACCCGCCCACCCACTAAAAAAAAAAAACAACAAATCTAGGCTACCTGCCCAACCACACCAACTAATTAACCATCCCAGTCGCTGCCGGTGAACGCCATTCACCCACACACACCCGGCTACGAGTGGTAACTCACCAGTGCTACACACTCGCCCACTCACACCCGGCTACATCATCACTACACTCACACTTCTGGGTGGGTACAAACTCTGATACCATTTTGTCACGATCCAAAAATTTTACTAAAATCATCGATTTATACAAATCCAAATACATCAAAATACACCCAAGATCACAAAAAAATGCATTCTTTTATACAAAGTCAATTTCTTCAAATATATACAAAATTCTCCAATTAAATAAAATAAATCCTCCACGCCAACTCTTCAGCTTAAACCCGAATCTAGCAATCTCCGTCCATCTTCGGTACCTAAAACTGGAGGGTGATGAGACTGAAAATCTCAGTAGGAAAAACCATAACAATAATTTCATGGAGGTTTAACAAAACAACTTCACAAAATATACATATTCATGTGAGTATATAAACCAAATAAATATGCATTTCATGAAAACATTTAATAAAAACATTGAAGCAAAACTTCCCCATGCCATTTAAGGTATAGAGAACAATACACTGAAAAAGATTAATTGCCTACTGGATCATCAACCTTCAAGCTCCGGCCTCCTCTGCAACCTCGGCTCTCACACATTGTCATCTTTCTCAACTCACTCTGTATCTTTTCTCAAAACTCCCTCTGTTTTCGCATACAAACCAAGTCATAAACACTCATTTTAAAGGCAATTCCACCACTTTAAAGGCAATTCCACCGACCTAAAAAAAACTCAGCCAACAAACCCCACACCATCATTTCCATCACATAGTAAAGCCACGTGATGGAAAACCAAAACAAGAAGAAAAGTTGGCCAAAAATATCAATTGGGTCCCGCCATCATTTCTTCTTTTTTCTCCCACCTTCTACTACCTTCTCCAACTTTTCATTAATAACCTAATAATTAATATTATCAAATCACACCATAAAACAAGTCAAAGTGGGACCCGCAATACATCATTCCATTTCCAATTCCTTACCCACTTCGGCTGAACTTGTCTTTCCTCTTCCACTTCCCAACCTACTATATATATATATATATATATTCAATGTAACAAACCAATTTCAAACTCATTATCCATCTCCAGTGGGACCTGCACTAAAATTATTACAACCTTTCTTTTTCTTTCATCAGATCAGCCCACGTGAATAAACCAAATTCACTACATAAATGACATCAAGTGGCGGACCCCACAAGAACTCATTACCATTCCTTTATCCCATTTTTCCTTTCAGACAAAATATAGATATAAAAATAACTATTACATTTTTTTAAAATAATAATAATAATAAATTAAAATCTAGAAAAAGAATTGGGTTATCACAGTTCCATTGTATAATACAATTATCAGTTACCAAGGGATGCAATTTGGGCAGGTTAACCCAGTCCAATCCAAACTCAACTCAAATTTTTTTAAATTTGAGCTTTTATGCTATGTTTAGTTAGAGGGATGGATTGGGGAGGGATGGATGAATGTTTTCATATTTGGTTGGAGGGAAGGGAAGAGAGGGAGGAAGTAAGGAGGGATGAAGCATCCCTCCTTGCTATACATTTTCCTATTTACCCAAATTTGGGGGGAAGAGTGGAGAGAAAAGAGGATAAGTATCAAAATTTGTTATAATTTTCATTTTTATCCTTCCTAAAAATTTATTAAAACCCTGTTGCGTTAAACAACTATAGTGATTATTAAATAAATTTAAATTAATTAATTGTTTGGTATGTAATATATATATATATATTCATTTTAAGAATTAAAAAAAAAAACAAAATTTGTTTAGTACGTAAGTATAAAACATTCATTTTAGACAACTTAGTAGAGCTTAATATTATTAAATAATTTTAAACTAATTAATTTTATAACTTTATATAGTAAGGGTATATTAGTAAAAAATATATAAAAACTATCATTTCCTTCCTTCCTTCCAACTAAACAAAAAAAACTAGCACTCCATCAATCCTTTCTCCCGTCCCTTCCATTCAACCAAATAAAAAATGAATGAGATATTTTCCCTTCTTTAAGAATCACTCATCCATCCCTCCCCCTCTCCCATCCATCCATTTTTCCATCCCTCCAACCAAACGGAGCATTAAATTCACAAA